AGTAATAATCATTTAATCATTCAGGAATAGTAAATAACTGGAGAGTGACAGTTAACTGAGTTTCCACAGGGTCTAATTCTATAAAGGTAATGTAGCCAGGCATAATGACACACACCTGTAATCCCAGTACTTAAGAGACTGAAACAGAAGGAGAATGAATTCAAGGACAGCCTTGGCTGCATAGCAAGAACATGTATTAAAAAAATAATAATAAAATAAACAAATAAGTAAAACTAAAAGGAAGGCCCTATAGGCCAACAAAGCAGTTGCGAGTGAAAGAACAAACCAAAAAGCAAAAATAATTCTACTTTCAGAAAGTCGGTCTCTGATTAAAAAGAAATTCAGAGAATGTCTGCTCTAACAGGAGACTAGTTTATAGGCTTCTGGATTTCTAACCTAGTTCTCTTCCAGTATACCATACTGCCACATTTGAACCAAAACTGCATGCTCTGGAGTGGAGGCTGGAAGATGTAGTTTCCTATGCCATTACTTCTGTGACAGAACATAATAATACTGTAATTGTTTTTCTTTTAATATTTTTTTATTTATTATTTTTATTTTATGTGTATGAGTGTATTGCCTGCATGTATGTGAGTGCACCCGTGTCATGCAATGCCGCGGAGGTCAGAAGAGAGCTTTGGATTCCCCTGGAACTGGAGTTAAGGATGGTTCATAGCCTCCATTTGGGTGCTAGGAATCGAACCCAGGTCGTCTGCAAGAGTAGTCAGTGCTCTTAACCGCTGAGCCATCTCTCCAGCCTCATTACTGTAATTGTTTTTAATGAGAAAAGAAAATGATACATACCTATTGTGCATATACAGTTTCTTTTTTTTTAACTTAGAAACTTTACTCTCTGCCATATGAATAGTACACGTTTACTAAAAGAATGAATGGACTGGAAATTGGCTTATTGGTAAGAGTATTTACCTAGCATGCATGAGGCCTGTGTTTGATTCCCAGTAAGAGAGAGAGAGAGAGAGAGACAGAGAGACAGAGAGACAGAGAGCCAGAGAGACAGAGACAGAGACTGGTTTCAGTTGGTTGACCCTCTAAACAAAAAAGTGAAACAAGGACTTTGAAATCACCATTAAGCATTATTCAAAACGGACATCAACTGTCTTTGATTAAATAATTTTATTTTCTGTTATTCTCACCCATTCTTAAACCAATTCCTAAAATTAATTAATATCCAACACCAAAATACAGTTAAACCAAAACTATCAAAACAAAAGAACAAGTCAGACAGGTAAACGCAAGCCAACAATCCCAGCACTCTCAAAGCTGAGGCAGGAAGACCACTGTGAGTTCAATTTTCATTTCTTACAATATATTAGAAATGGAGAGGAACGTGATAAACACACCTATAATCCCAGCACTCAGGAGGCAAAATGGCAAGTTGGAGACCAGCCTAGCTAAATATCAAGACTGTTCCCTGCCCTCTGAGAGTGAGAGAGAGTTAACATCCTGAATATAGTCATAAAAGAGGTCAAGAAGTGCCTTACTACACTTTCTCTTCCTATATATGAAATTAAGCTCTGAAATAACAAAAATAGGAGTTAACTAAAAGAATTTTTCCCATTAATGAAGAGGAAATAAACAAGGCAAGCCTCTTCCCTTTGAACAAAGCATACTATAAACAGTACCTGACAATTCAATCATTTACTAGTTATTCATCCAAAGCAGCAAATCTCCATGGAGAGCAAGGGAAGGGAGTAGGCAGCTTCAAATTACACATGGCTCCTCCCAACTCTTCTTTATCCAAATACCTCAACATTATCCAATAATTCTGCTATTGAGAGCCACCGTGAGGATGGAAATGTGCCAAATTCCTTAAGTGTGTGCCATTCCTTAAAAGATGTACATGACAAATCCCACCTCTCACTTTCATCTATAATTATGAGTTCTAGTGACCCTTAATTCAGAGAAGTACTCCCTTTTGCATATAAGTAAAAACAGAAAACAGTAGTTATCATCAGTCTCAGAACAGCAGCAAAAACGTCTGTTATTAGTCTTGGTCCTCTAGCAAAGCCTTGGCCATCCATAACTCTCTGAGGTCTGTTATCTTGAACAATTAGATATTCTAGATTGCTTAAGTTTTGCCTTATAAATTCTCAACTCCTATTTTGTAATTTTTTTGTAATTTGTGATGACACACTTTCGAAGTATACCATCTTCTCCACTCAGAGTGCTTCAAACTACCAAAGCAGTACAAAATCATTACAAATAATTTAATAATCCAAAAGTGCACAAATTAAAAACGTTTTCCCTTACCATCTGCCTGATCCCATTCTGCAAGGACAACCACTGGGAAACCATTTTAGACAAATCCTTCTTAGAGCTCTTTAGAATACACACAAACCTCACAAATTATACCTACCTGAATATACAAATTCAAACAAGCAGTAAGTCGATCTTGCTATTGAGTTCCAACTCTTGCTTTTCACATTGACGTACAGAATGGACTTTTAAACTTACATACGTTGGTACACCTGCTTTTTTAAACTGCATATACAAAAGTATTTTTCACCATTCATGTATTAGTAGATATTTCTAGAAGTGAATCTTATTTCTGTGTGCAATGAGTAATTTTATGTTCATTTATTCGTGCTTTTCTGCAGAATAGTTTAAAAATGAAAATCCTGGATTAAAAGACATTGTATTTTTAGAGATCTTGTCATATGTTCTGCCTTCTTTTTTTATATTTATTATTTTTATTTTATGTGTGTGATTGTATTTTCTGCATGTATATAAGTGCACCCGTGTCATACAATGCCTACAGAGGTCAGAAGTGGGCATCAGATCCCCTGGAACTCGAGTTATGGAAGTTGTTAGCTGCTATGTGGGTGCTGGGAATTGAACCTGGGTCCTCTGCAAGAGCAGCCAGTGCTCTTAACTTCTGAGCCATCTCTCCAGCTCCTGTCCTGCCTTCTTAAAAATAATGTGATTAACTTTCTCCTGAGGACAGGCATATATTTATCATATTCATTTTGTTGCTGTTGTTCTGCTAGAACACAGTGGTAATATCCTTGGAGCCTCAGAAGTAGTTAGCACTGTTTATTCCTGTATGTCATCTGTTTTTTTTTTCTTTTATTGTCATTTCATGCATGTCTTCACTTGTATTAGAAACTTGAAGCCAGAAATTTTTGCTAAAATTGAGAACAAATTATTAGAATGAAAGACACTTTTAATTTATACCTGAGTAAATTGCGATTGCCATTTTTGCCTCTCAGAGATCCCCTATATCTCTTTAAGGACCCCAGGCCCTCATCTATGAACAGGTAAATTATCATCACTGTTAGTAATATAATGATAGGCCAACTGTGGTCTCATATGGAAAGTGTCTTTTTTTTTTTTTTTTTATTTTTTTGAGACAAGGTCTCCCTGTAGCCCCAGCTGGCCTGGAACTCACTATGCAGATGAGGCTGGCCTTGAACTCACAAAGATCCCCCTCCTCTGCCTCCTAAATGCTAAGACTAAAGGCATGCACTACCACGCCTGGCTAAGGATCTTATTTAAGAAAAACGAGAAGCGAATAGATCAGGAAACTAGCACAATGTCAATGTTTCCATAAATATCATAATAGTTAAAAAAAAAAAAAAAGCAACTGTTACAGGTAGTTCATGTTCATTTATTATACTGAACCTATTTCATCCTACACCTAGGTGAGCTGGTTTACTAAATTGGACATACTTGACTTATTCCATAAACATTTCCCCTACCTTCCAAGTCTACTACCTTTAGCTATCCTATCACTAGCCATTAAGTCAATCCAGTATTATCATCTTAATAAATTGTACAAAGTAAACATATAACCAGGGTTAATATCAGTATGACAAAGGAACATTTTATTAGAGTATCTTCCTTCCACCCCCCACTTCCCTCATCCACATCTCCCCCCTCTCTGCTGCCTCAAAGGTGTATGCAAAAGCTTGCCCGTCTTCTTCAAGATGTAGAGAATGAAGGTGAACAATCTAGAGGCAAGGGAGGAGAGAGGAGTGCACTGAGTGAACTCGAGAATAAGGAAACAAGGGAAGGCAGAACTAGGAGGAGCAGCTAACTTCCCTGGATCAAAACATGCCTGAGCTTTTTAATCATGTGTGCCTGTTTAGGTTGGAATTTTGTCATCTGCAATTTGAAACACACTAACTCCTGTAGCTAGAACTTTATTGTCTAGTCTTCAAACTTCAAACATCACTTTTATTAAGTTGAGAAAGATTATCTGTCAAACTGATCTAATAATGATAATTTTGCTATTTGAACAAAATCAAGTTTAATTCCATCATCTTTAAGATTCAAAAATTTTTCCCTTTAAAATTTTTAAAGTAGGCCCGGTGTGGTGGCACATACCTTTAATCTCATCATTCAGGAGGCAGAGGCAGGCAGATCTCTGTGAGCTGGAGGTCAGCTGGGGCTACAGAGATACCTCATTTCAAAGAACAAACAAACAAAAATGTGCAAAATCACATTCACTGGTAATGTTTGAATATAAATACAAAGAAGCTCAGCTCATCACAAACTCAATTTCCAAGACTTTGAAACTCTGTAGTTCAGTGTTTTGGAGAGAATGCTAAAACAGTTATTGGGGAAAACATCAAAGTGTAAAGCACAGAAGTATACTCTAGGGTTTGCTTGCTTTTTCATTTGTTTCATGATCAAACCATTTTTGTTCAGAGGCTTGAAAGTGAAGAGGGGCTAAAGAGGTAAACAACTCTGATGTCCTCAGCAGGACAGATCTCCCTCGTATCCTCATGGCTCCCCCTTTTGTTCCCAGATATAATAATGTCTTTCTGCAATTAGTTACTTATGATCTAGCTAGCCAATATTTCCTAGTACTAGGCAATGACTTAATATACTCAATCATTAAAACAAATCAGTTACCCAAGTCAATCTAATTTGGATGAAAAGCACAAGATTTAACCTGTGCAATACCTACTTTATTTAATACTACGCTGTTTAAACATATAACTTCATTTCTAGAAGTGAAAAATAAAATAACTTACCTCAATTGTTTTGCATAGTTCTGCTCAATTTCAATCCTCTCTTTAACAAATTTGGCATATCTTTCCAAGAAGTCAATTCCCCACTGTGTATGCTTGTCTAAGCTGTCGAACTGATCCTGAGAAAGAAAAGTAAAAACACATTGAACAAGTCTGAAATCATATCCACAGATATTTTAACCAGCTTCTTGTATTTGTACAGAGAAATGATGAAGTATAAAAGAAAAGCCCTGGGGGTTGGAAAGATGGCTCAGTGGTTAAGAGCACTGGCTGTTCTTGCAAAGGACCTGGGTTCGATTCCCAGCACCCACTGGCAGCTAACAACTGTCCATCCAATTTCGGGGATCAATGCCCTCCTCTATTGTCCATGGGCATTTCATGACACAGGTGCACTTACATACAAGCAGAAAAAACACTCATACACAAAGAATAAAAATATTTTTTTTAAAAAAAGAATATCCATTCACTTCATCCTTCAATGGGTTCCCAACCAAAACTCTAATACTTTATGTCTGAATTACATTATGTACATGGTTACCCCTCAGTTCAATGCTTTACCCTGACCACCTTTTTATATCAACTCTTATTCCCATTTTGAGATTCAGTTCAGGCATTATTATGCCCTACAGGAAATGGTTCTAAACTCTCGGATTGAGATAAATGGTAATTCTCTAGATCACTAAGTTCCCTAAAATTATTCTCATATTTGTTTGTCATTCTACATTGAAAGAAGGAACTATGTATCTCAACTGTAAGCCTCCAAGGCCTGAACCCTACACTTGGGATCACTCAAGTACTCAGTAGAGAACTGCTTAGCAGAACAAAATAACATGTTCCTAGGTTCAAATTCTAAGATGCCACCTACCAAATGTTTGACAGGGGGCAAGTTTATCAATGCTCTCTGAATTTTTTTTCACCTATCAAATGAGAGTTTTAGCACTCCCCTCATAGGATTATGGTAGTGTTGTTTAAAATGCTCTGAAAATTGGGCTGGAGAAATGGCTCCATGTTTAAGAGTACTTGCTGCTCTTGCAGAGGACCCAGGTTCAGTTCCCAGCACCCACATCAGGTGGTTCACAACCACCTGCAACTCCAGTTCCAAAGGATTCAACACTCTCTTCTAGCCTCTGCAGGTACTGCATGCATGTGATGTACTTACTGACAAGCAGATACTCCCACAAACACATAAAAATAAATAAAAAATTTAGAAAGATGTTCTGCAATGCAGTAAACACAAAACAGAGTACCACTGTCCTACAAGGCTCTTTCAATCCTTAATAATGTTTGTTTTTATCTGATGCCTGACAGACTATCATTTCCCTTCCTTTAAGAATAATGTCTATACTACTTCACCCAAGTCAGAATAGCTATCATCAAGAAAACTAACAATAAACGCTAGAGAGGATGTGGGGAAGGAGGAACCCTTATTAACACTGTTGGTAAGAGTACAAACTAGTACAGCCATTATGGAAATTGGTATGGAGATTTCTAAATTAAAAAAAAAAACTGCTGTATGACCCACCTATACCACTCCTGGGCATATACCCAAAAGACTTCATACCCTACCAGAGAGACATATGCTTGCACATCCACATTTAATGCTGTCTTGTTCACAACAACAAGGAAATGGAATCAGCCTAGATGGGCTGGTTAATAAAAATGAGGACCATACATACAAAGGAATTTTATTCAGCTGTAAAGAAAATGAAATTATGAAATCTGTAAGAAAACAGATGGATCTGAAAAGTAGAATATTAAGTATGGTGACCCAAACTCAAAAAGACAGTAACTTCATGTTTTTTCTTATATGCAGACCCCAGCTTGTAATGTACACATGTATGTATATAAATGTAGGTAAAGCCTTAGATAGAAAGGAGACCAAGAGAGGATAAAAATAGGTGCTGAGAAACACGGTGGAAGGCAAAAGGCCATATGTGACATGAAAGCAGAAAGGAGACCTTAAGGAAGTTACAAGTGGTGGTCAGGAGGGTGGGTGAAGGGGGTTATCTACTAAACACACTTTGTTCAAAAATGCCATAACAATCTAACACTTTGTGTGCTCATTTAATAATTTTAAAAGGATAATCTATGAATGATGAGAAACTTGATGTTCTCTCACTCTCACATGCCTCAAGTCTACAATGAGGGCATTTAAAATGAACTTCCAAGGTTTTTGCTTGTTTTGTTTGTTTGGTTTAGTTTGGTTTGGTTTTGAGACAAGGTCTTACTATATAGTCCTGGCTGGCCTGGAACTCACAGAGATCCACCTGCCTCTGCCTCTCAAGTGCTGGTATAAAAGATGTGCACTCCCCCCACCCAAGTTTTTATTAATTATTCACAGGTTATATTTACCTATTTACTAATAAATAAATATATATTTATTTACTAATGAATATATCTTTTCCATCTTAAATTATTTAAAATATTTACTACTAAAAGCCAATCATATTTAAACACAAATATACTCCATCAGGTTATCATAGCTCTGTTTACTATCTTTTCTTCCAAGCAACTTTCTAATTATCTTTTAGCTTCCAAAATCAATCTGAATACAGAGAGAGAGGGGAAAAAAAGCACTTCTCAGTAAACTTAGTCTACAAAATATGTCCCATTATAAAACTGGAATTCTCTTTCACTCTAAAAAAATCTCAACAACAAAAAATGCTTGGCATGGTGGCACATGCCTTTAATCCTAGCACTGGCAGGCAGAGGCAGACAATCTCTATGAGATCAAGGCCAGCCTGGTCTACAAAGAGAGTTCCAGGTGGGCTGAGGCTAGGGGACCCTGTCCAAAAAAGAAAAGAAAAGAAATCCCAAAAGACCACATGAAAGTCTAAAACAATTCATTCATTTTTTTCCCAAATTGCTTCAAAAGCTTTCCACTATCTTTGCCAAATTTTCAATAATACTTATTTTTTACATGAAGACTCCAAACTGTTTCTATTATACGCCCCTTTAGTAAAACATATGAAATAGAATATCAAGAACTATAGTAACTACAGTATGTAATATTTATAAAATCAAGTGATATGCTATTAAAGCTTTTAATTTTGAAATCCACAGAACCATAAAGTTAAAGAGATGAAAATAAAATCTGACTTTTAAGTAATGCTTCCTTTCTCTAACAAACAAGCTATTGGGCTATGACTTTGAAAAATATTAACAATATTTTTAAGAACAATGAAATCAAATATACTTCATTATTTCTAAATATCTTGGTTTAACACTTGTTAAATAAAAATTATGGGAGGCCATTTGGAGTAAGCTCCTCAACTAAGCCCCAACATACCAGACCAAACCAAAATGGAGTCACTCCTGCTAACCAGCATATAATCAAGCTGAAAAAAAAGGGGACGTAAATAGAATCCAAAGCAGGCAAGTTCTCCTGAAGACAGAAAATTCTTGTCTTCTGAGTCAGTGTAAAAAGGAAGTCCCCTCAGCCTTAACCTTTATAAAAAGTAGCCTGAAGCAGTCTGATGTTAATCAATCAGTATTTTTCAACTGTTAGAGTTCCTCATTTCCATCTTAAAACACTCCCCTTTCTGTACTCACCCAGTAAAGCTTCATTCTATTTTCAAAAGATCTTTAGATCTTTATTTACATTTCCAGTTTCTTACAGATTCTCCCAACCAAGCAGTTTTAAATTGTTAATAGATTGCTTCAAGTTTTTTATTTTTGAGATTTTCATACAATATAGTTTGTTGATCTTTAGATTCCACCCGCCCCCATACTCCTCCTCAGTTCAATGTACTCTCTTAAATATATAATATAGCCTACAGAGTCTGATTTGTGTCCCCAGATGTCCTTCATTGTGGGTCAATTCAACAAATAGAAGCTGCCTAGATCTGTGAATCATGAGTAAGTCAACTGATGGATAAAGGTATAGATAGATCCATAACTAAATTTGTTGTGATTCTGTTTTCAACATACTTAATGTCAAAGTAATCTGACGAGTCTTAGTTCTAGATTCTAAGCTGTGATATTTAATTTTCAGTGGTTGTCAAACCTAGAAAAACAAAAAAGATACTGTTAGGGAAAGAGGAATTTACTGCTTGTTTGAATATACTGCTTGTTTAAATTTACTGCTTGTAACCAATTAACTCAACTAGAGACAGGCATCCGAAGATAGAGGCAAAGTGCTATAACCCCCAGAGCCTGACCTGTTCTGTGTCATGTCATGTCTGCTTACACAAGATAACAAGAAAGAGTTGTACCAGGCACATACCAAGCATCTCTTCCCAATTGAGACACCTGAAGGGAGCTATAACATTTTTTCTTGTTTTAAAGTTATTGGTTTGTGAAATGCTTGCTTTGAAACTATTGGCTGTATAAACGCGGGCTTTTGTGTAACGGTTGTGGAAGCCTATATAATCTTTACCTAAAATTGTCTCAGGATCGATTGCTCTAACCAGACCAGCATGTTCTGGAAAGGACAGTCGATCCCAGCTAGCTGGTTTACTAAAACTCTGTTTGATTTTTGCATCTCCGTACTCTTGTATTTGTTCTTCAGAAGAGACCCACGGAGTCACGGACCCTAACAATACTTCATAAAAACAATTCATGAAAAAACTCACTGTTGACTATATTACTCATTTTAGAATTCATTAAATTTTCAACACCTTTCATCAATCTGGTCAGTAAATTTCCTTGAAATCATTTCTTATTTTAACATTTTGGTTGTTAGCCTTAGCTTTTAACGGCTGTGCTCTCCCTCCAGCCCCATTTGTTATTTTTACAAACTAACCAGAAGTATTTCATCTTCACATTTATTTGGTTGAACATAATTCTGGATATGTCTGTGGAGGTATTTTTTAGATGGGGTTAACATTTTCAAAGGTGAATTTTTATTAAAGCAGTTTACCCTCCACCAGCTGGCAGGCCTCATTCAATCAGTTTGAAGGCTTTCAGAGAACAAAGACTGACTCTTTCTCAATCAGAAGGACCAAACCCGGAGAACTGCCTTTGTTCTAGAACTGCATCTCTAACCTGAGTGATCCTCTGCAGATTTTGGATTTGCCAAGCCTCCATAATCACATAAGCCATTTCTTTCAAAAGAAACCTCTCTCGAGTCACCAGCTCCCTACTAGTCTGTGCACACCTATTAGCATTGGACCCAGGG